CCAAACGAGCTTTTTTGGCTTCCCAATTTGCAGGTAACTTAAGTCTTTTATCTTCTTCCACAACCTCCTGGTGATTTAATTTACGAGCTTCATTCTAAAAGCACACAACAAAGAACAAGTAAGAAAAAAATAAAAAATCATAAAATAGTTTTTTACCAGATAGCTCAGTGGACTCAGCACCTGCTTAGGCAGAGTGCAGTGGCCGGGGTTCAGTCCCCACAGTGCCGGTGCCAGTGCCGATGCTGATGGTGCCCCCGGGGCGCACTGACAGGGTGATTGAGACTGGGCATGGTGGCGCAAGCCTGTAATGCCAGCGCTTGGGAGGCTGAAAACAAGGAATTACTAAAGTCTGATCTACGTAGTGAGACCCTATAGACCTTGCAGAACCTGTCCTAAATACAAAAAAAAAAAAAAAAAAAAAAAGTTTTTTAGATGCAATATGAAAAGCAATCCAGATAGAGCTTGCTCTTTTCCAGGACAGGCAAGTGGAACACACTAACAAGAGGAGCCCATTTTATCCTAAAGGCAACGAAGAGCTACCAGGTGAACTTAAACAAGGGGGCAGCAGCCTGATAAGGTCCGCACTTTTTACAATCAAGAAACAGGCACTGCACCGGCTTGCTGTTCGGAGCCCTAGGAGTTAGTATCAATTTTGGCCTGTTTGTATGATCCCTTGGGTTGGATCAGAACAAGATTTTGCAAAGTGGGGGAGCCATACAACTGTGGCACTGAAAGATATTCTACTTTTAAATTCTGATTAACTGGGGCTGGGAAGATGGCTCAGTAGAATAAGCACTTCCCTGGCAAGCGCAAGGGTCTGAGTTCAATCCCCGATTCAGGAAAAAAAAATAATAAAATAAAATAAATTCTGATTAACTTTAAAGAAAAAGCATCAATTTGGGATTGAATGTTTTAATGCCTATCTTAATAACTCATACCTCTAAGAATTTCCTAGGCTGCCCCCTTTTTAAATATTTTGACACTGTGAGAAATGAAAGGAACTTTCCCATTTGAAGTACTTTTTTCTTTTTCTTTTTTTGCAGTACCAGGGATTGAACTCAGGACCTTGCACTTGCCAGGAAAGTGCTTACTCCACTGAGCTATCTCCCCAGCCCTTGAAGTACTAACAAAGAGCCTATTTTCAAACAACCTTAATTGCATACAACATACTGAGTAAATTAAGAATTACTTGAGGCCAGAGCTATAGCTCACTGATGCAGCACCTGCCTGGCAAGCAATAGGTCCTGAGTTCAATTTCCCACACCAAAAAAGTAGTATAACTTAAGTTAGATCTTTCTTAGGTCACAGGCTGGTGGCAGCCCAGGAAGTCAGCTTCCTAATTTCCGGGCATGTTCTTTCCACAATCCCTCTAGTAAGTAAATATTTAAGCACAGTTGTTTAACTGTTCATAACTTTTTTGTAGACAGAGAAAGAGCCATCTGCCACCCCTCACATACTCTTGGCTCTGGCAACGCAATGCCATTCAGTCTATGGTCAAAGTTGGGCTCACTGCATTGAAGGAGAACAGAAATGGGGAACATCTCAGTGAGTATTAGATGGAGCTAATTACAGAATCTGGGTTTAATCAGGTGAGTCATGGTAAGATTCAAGTGTTTGAATTAGCCATTGTCAGAAAACAAAGGCATTCTATAACCAGCTTAAATTTCTACATAGACGGTAAGACTGAAGGCTGGAATTGGTAGGTTAATGGTGCCCAGAAGAAAAAAAAGATTATGGTCATTTCTATGATTTAAATAATCTTGGTTTTGTCTCACTACAATATTTGGAGTGATGTTGGGGGTTTGCAAAAGCATGTCCAAGCTCTCAAGTCAAAGCATTCCAAACTGAAATGGGCAGCTTTCCTCTTATTTCCAAATGTATCCAGCTGGGCTGGGGAGATAGCTCCGCAGACTAAGCGCCGATCTGGCAAGCACAAGGACCTAGGTTCGATCCCCAGGACCACATGCCATGCCAGCCCTTGCTGTGCCAGCCACTGAAACCAGGTGTGGTGGCACACACCTGTAATCCCAGCGCTGGGAAGGCTGAGACAGAAAGATCACTATGAGTCTGAGCTGTGCAGCAAGACCCTGTACCAAGTAAATAAATAAATAAAATATTTTTTAAAAAAGGTATCCAAATACTTGTCTCTTCCTTAGTGTTTGTTGCCTCTGCTCTGGCATCTCCAACTCCTTTATTTGGTAATTACTCAATTTCAAAGAATACAATAGGTTAGGTGAGACACTCCCTCCAGCACACAAAACAGTGGGCTGCACTCCCAGAGCATTCTATTCCTACCTCCAACACTGCTTTTACCACAGTATAATTTCAGTCTACATCATGTAACCTGTAGTTCAGAACAGAGGCCTTAATTTTAAACATCTGATCTTCCACCCACCGGCTAGACCCCCATACCTGTACACTTTTAGAAGTGTGCTCAGTATTTGGGGTGAGCATGGGGTGGGGGTGGTATTTGACAGGCTCTCCCCATGTAATCCAGGCTGGCCTTGAACTCATTTTGTAGCCCAGACTGGCCTAGAGCTCAAGGGACTCCTCCTGCCTCAGCCTCCGGAGTGGTGGGATCACAGGTGGGCACCACCATGCCCGGCTTTGTGCTCACCTGTGACACTTCTTAAGTTTTCTTCCAACTTCTGGTTCTACCTATCTCCCTACAGAAAATGAAGTTTGTTGCAATCATAGAGCAGAAAGGCTGTTCGTACTGGATGCTCAAATCTAGTCCAGATGAACTAAATCAGACTAAGGGATGGTGAAGAAAACAGATTTTCAGAAGTTCTCAAAGTTGTCTCGATGTGCGGCCAGGGTGAGAATAAACAGAGCTTTCATTTCAGGGGATGACCCAGCTCTGCGGCCTTTTGGTCTTCTGGGTGCACCTTCCTCGTCCCTGGTACACACGGAACGAGGTACAAGCCCGGAGACGGTGACAGGTCTGAGCTGGCCTCCGGGGCGACTCACCCGCTTCAGATGCAGCTCTCGGAATTTTCGAAGTCTCTGTTCGCGCTTCTGAGCCGCCAGTTCCTCCGCCGACGTGCAGGACCCCTCCTCTGCGATGTCCACCGGAGCCTGCAACAAAAATGACCGGCTTGAGGTGGGGCTCGACTTCTCCCGGTAGGGCTACCCAGGCCGAGTCCCAGCGGGCTCCGACAGTCGGGGCTGTGGTCTGCCACCGCCAACGCGGCCCCCCGCTGTCTGCGCTTTCTTGGACGCCCATCCAGCCTCTCGCCTCCATCTATCGGTCCCATCACTCCCCAGAATTCTAACCTATAAAAACTCCGAGGCAGGCCGATGGGCACTCACCGTCTCGAGTTTAGTCGCATCCGCCATTACACCCCCCTCCCTACTTCCGGCAACAATGATCATTTCCTTCCGGCGACCAAGCCAAGTATGCAAATGAGCCGTGAAAGCACCGCCCCTTCCTGGCTTGCCGCAGAAATTTAGGACCAATAGCGGCACCTTTAGCAATGAGATCGGGTTGCGCGCAGGCGCAGAAGATTATGAAGAAAGGCCTGGGAGGAGCGAGTTGGGGCGAATCGGAGTGGAAAGCGCTCAGGAGATAATGGAATAGCCTGGGCCATTTAGCAATTAAATTGGCTGTCTCAAAAAATAAAAAGCGCTGGATGTGGTGGCACACACTTCTAATTCCGGCACTCGGGAGGCTGAGGCGGGAGTATCGAGCGTGGGCTACACAGTGACCTTAATGCCAGTCTAAACTGCAAGGCAAGTCCAGATTTTAAGGGACTGGGGAGATAGCTCAGAGACACAAGCACCTGCATCCGCCTGGCAAGTGCAAGATCCCACATTCAATCCCCAGGCCCGCAGCGTTTTGGCACTGGAACTGGGCGTGATGGCACACGCCTGTAATCCCAGGGCTGGGGAAGCTAAGACAGGAGGATCACTACGAAACTGAGCTGTGTAGCGAGACCCTGTAGCAAATAAATGTAAGGATTTTTTTTTTATAATAAACTTATAATGAACTACCCATGGCAGCAACGAAAATTCTCCTTGTTCAGATCACGTGCTGCTACCTTGACAGGGACTACAGTCAATGACTACAATTTAACAGGCACATCTCTAGGAGTATATGTCCAACATATTGTACATTTACATTTTTTTTTATTTTTTATTTTTTCAAAGTTTTATCGACAAACAGATAGCAATGAGACAGTTTCAAATCACATCGGAAGGACAGTTCCAAAAAATAACACACTGCATACATTCCTCTCAGTGGCCAATTGCTGTACAAGATGCGGACCCGTGACCCCATCCACAAACACCATTAGAACAAATCACTCCACCCACTAAGAGAATGCAACCCACATCCATCCCAACCGCTTTGAATACACAGATACAAAATGGACATTCATCGGTATACCCCATTTTTTCTAAGTTCCGTTATTGAATATTATAGGTGTGTAAACTCAGCAAAATATTCTAAAAGAGCCCAGTAGCCCATAATAGCATTGGGTCTTATATTTAACTGGCAATGTCAGAAATTATTGACCTGAGTCCCCCACAGCTCAACCCAACAGCATGGCTTTATTTCTTATATTTCGACTTCATACTTTTCTACTGGATGGTTAAGACCAAGGTAAAGCAGGACCTATGCAACAAGAGTTGTAGCCTTTTGGTCTGAGAAGGTCAGTGAAATGCCCTCAGGATTTGTCCTGAGATCCTGTACCTCAGATTGCAGAACCCTCATCAGTGCAGCCATGTGGATGAGTCACGGCCATTGCCTGGTGTACATTTACATTTTTCAAGGGGTCTTATACCAACAGGCAAAACTAGGGCTTATATATTACTTCTAGGGTTTACAAACTTTTATACCAACAGGGTATTCTAGGATTTATATACCAACAGGCAAAAACTGTAATAGTGATCAGATTTAGACCAGCTACCCAGATCTTCCAGTTCATAGTAAAGCCTAACACTTAAAATTGTACGTGCTAGCCAGGTGTGGTGGTACACGCCTGTAATCCCAGCACTGGGGAAGTTGAGGTAGAATAAGCACTTGCCAGGCAAGCACAACGGCCTGAGTTCAATCCCCAGTTGGGGGGTGGAGGGGGACAAAAACGAAAAAAAAAAAAAAACCACACAGGTTGGGGGCCAAGGAGATAGTTCAGTACAATAAGCGCTTGCCGGGAAATGCGGGCTCCTGAGTTCAATCCCCAGTTGGGGGGTGGAGGGGGACAAAAACGAAAAAAAAAAAAAAACCACACAGGTTGGGGGCCAAGGAGATAGTTCAGTACAATAAGCGCTTGCCGGGAAATGCGGGCTCCTGAGTTCAATCCCCAGTTCTGCAAAAAAAACAAAACACACACACACTGCCAGACACAAGCCAAGTGGGTATGCTATTAGGCAGGATTGGGGTCCTCCTCCTCCTCCCATCAAGATAGGGCTCACCTGTCCTTTTGTCAGCCTTCTCAAGGCCCCTAGCCCTGGGAACTTTCGAACTGCTGGGGCACACACCTTGTGAAACAATTGCCTCATAGTACACTACACCAGTATTCCATAAACATTTTTTGGCACTGAGAATGGAACTCAGGACCTTATGTGTGCTTGCCAGGCAAGCACTTGTGCTGAGCTATATTCCCCAGCTCTACAAAACTTTCAACTTCTGAAGTTATTTTTACTTCACAGACATGAAATTTTCCATGAGCAAACTTTGATTTTGAGACAAGGTCTCATTATGCAGTTTGGGCTGGCCGTGGGCTCTTTGTAGCCCTTAGGCTGATCTTGAACTCAGAATGATCCTTCCATCTCAACATCCCAAGTACTGGGATTACAGCATGCACCACCACGCCCAGTTCTTCAATGAGCAAACTTTGAATGAGATGCTGCTTTATGCTTTATTAAATGAGTATACACAATTAAGACAAATAATAAAAATAACTTTATTAAATATACAAAACACACAGTTCAGTTACTGTGTCTTACAAACATCATAGTTCACACAATATTTACAAATATATATAAGACTCCCACCTGTATGTAATCTCTGATCCATTTGTGCTCTCAGCTCTCCAAAACCTAAATGTTAATATTTTACTAGTAAGTATTACGTATCTTTGCACTGGTTTTTAATTGCAATCATTACCAAAAAATAACTCAAAAGACCTGGGATAATGCTGGAAACAAACTTGTAATAAAGTGCAGTTTGAGGCAACTGTAGCCATTCACTTTCTTCTTTTAGACAGGTATCCACAGTCCATATGGGCTTTTTTTCTTATCTATTTTTGGTGATCCT